CCCTCATAAGCATAGATGCACGAATTCTGAATTTTTTTAAAAAGCGGATTTGTTCAACAATGTGTAAAAAACGAAAAAATAATGCACTGCAACTTTGTGAAGTTTATCTTGGAAATGTAAGGATAAGTCGATATTCAAAAATCAGTCAATGTAATCCACCACAATACAGTCTCAAGAAGGAAAATCATATGATCATTTCAACTGATAAAGAAAAGCCATTTAACAAAATTCAACATCCATTCATGATACTATCAGCAAGCTAGGAACAGAAAAGAACTTCCTCAGTCTGAGAAAGAACATCTGAAAAGAAATGCATTAAACTAACATAATAAGTAATGGGTGAAACACTTAATGCTTTCCCCAGAAGATCTGGAGTAAGGAAAGTGATGTCCTCTTCCTTCCACAGTACACTGCATGTCCTCACCAGCACAACAGCAAATAACAAACAGGAAACATGGGAGCTTTAGGTCTCAAATGACATAGAGACATAATGAAGTAAAGCAACTGACCAGTGGAGAAAATTCTTCTGAATGAAAGGAAAATAATGAGAATATATAAGGCATTTGAATGTGCTCTGATTATTTTTTTTCCGGTGGAAGAAAAAATTTTACAGGGTATTCCATATTTAAGAAGTTATTGATAGAAAGTAGAAATAAAGGAGGTAAATTCTTTTCTGTGAATTTCAGAAATGTAATGCTATCAGTTTCATGAAGTAAATGTCTAAGGAGTGAAAGAATTAAAAAGTACCATAAATAAGAAATAAAAGGAACAAAAAGTTCTTGTTTTAAATCAGTATAAACTACAGAAGGAAAGGGTTAAGATTTCTTTTAGGATTGGTGGAAAAGGTGATCACTTGTGTTGAGAAAATTAGATTTGTATATCTTATTCTAAACTTTTAAAAATGTAATGCCATGGTAACACTAGTGTTGTGCTTTGCTGATTAGATAAACTCAAAAGCTCTATTTTTGATAGAAAAAAAACAAGAATTGAATGCAAAATCACGATTATCTATGTTTCTTACTTAAATACTCTTAGGGGATGTTCAACTTTTGGCACCAAAGTGGTTGAATGCAGTGGTAAAGAACTCCTTCTTTTTTTGGTTGGAATTCTGGCCCCAGTGATGAACTGTGTGACCTTGGACAAGTTACCTAACCTTGTGTTTCAATTTCCAAAGCTGTAAACTGCAGAAAATAGTAATAAGGCCTACCTTATAGGTTGTTAGAGGAACTAAATAAGTAACTGTAAAATGTCTAGAATAGTTTCTGGCATAAAATAAAGGTAGATGCTGGCTATCAACTGTCACCATTATCATCCACCTGGTGACACATTGTCTGAATTGAAGACATAGTCCCTAGGGAAGAAAATAACAAAATTGTACTTTGAAAACCCATAGGTTTATTGTGATGGTACATATACCATAGATAATATTTCTCGCTTCTGGAACTGTGCCTGAGTACTCCATAGGAGGCCGAATTAGAAATAGGGAGAAATTACATTAAGAACACAGATTTTGAGGGAAACCAAGCATTTTCTGCCAGCTGAATAAAGAACTCATCTGTCCCATACCCACAAGCTCTTACTTCTGTTACTCTTTTGAAAAAATAGAATATTGATCTAATAATTCAGATCCCAGAATACTGGGGTTAGCCACTTTTACTAGGACTGAAAGTTCAGGATGTGTGGGAATCAGTTTTCTCTGTCTTCTTCCAAATATTGCCTTTTAATTTCCCCTTTGCAGACACCCCACTTTCTACAACAGCCTTGAGTACGTGGTTGGGTCAGCTACCGTCTAGGTTTGGGGGACATGCACTCACTCTCTGTAACAGAGACTGGCTAAGAGTTCTCCAAGACATTTCTCTTTCTCTCCTGAGCACATAGCGAGGTGACACTCTTACAACAAAGGGTTGTCCTGTGGCTGGATTCTTGAATGTGGTCCCAAGTGATCTATACTATCTCAACCCCAGCATTGCTCCACGATATATCTTTCCTTCCATTCACAAGTGGCCTCCAGAACCTTAAAAGATGGGGGAGCCATTAGAAGAATTATAAATCCCTGAAACACTGCATGGAGAAGAATCCTTCTCTTCTACCAACTCACATCATATTTTGATGTGAGAAATCAGCCTTAATCGTGCTTAGCTGTAACGCTTTGTTATAGAACTGCCCTATCCTAAGTAAAAGACACTGTTATTCTCTGTCTTTCTGGGGCCTTTTTCTTTGGCACTACAGAAGGTAATTTTTACTTAACGGGAGTAGCTAGTTTTGAGACCTTAGGTTGTGGTTTGGTGGCAAGAGGTAGGGTAGCTGAGGCTAGGTAAAGCATTTTACATAATCCCGTCCAGCTTCCCGGAGCTCTAGATAAATATTTTGGGCCAGAGGACCAGCTAAAAATAGTTACTTTGTTTTTCCTTGCCACTGTTCCCTATTCTTTTTTTCCCCTTAAAAGATAGCACCCCTGAGATGAAGCAAATTCAATTATTTAAAGACCTTTTGGACTAGATGCCATCTTAACGTAGTATCCCCTTAGAGCAATCTACTGTTGTTATTATTTTAACAACAAATATGTAAAGAAGTAAAAAAGCAACAGTCAGGTGCTTTAGACAGATACACTCAAAATAAAGAAGTTTAAATTAAGACACCTTATAGTTGGATACAATTGAATCTTCTCACTGATACTAGAAAGAAATTCTATGCTAGACACTGGAGTAAGTACAATGAATAACATGATTTGGTTTCTTCTTCGTAGGAGTCAGGTGTAAGGATTGGGGGAAAAAAAGAAAACAACATCGCATAAAATAGAAAATAATTAAAATAAGTGTAACAGATCATAAGGAGTTTTGAGAACCATTAAAGCAATCAGATACAGACAGGAGTTTATAAAAAGTGTTGCCCTAGTTGTCTAAGAATGGATACACAGTAGTTTCAGTAGTTAAAAGTGGCACAAGCCCCTATGTGAAAGTATTGGACAATGAGATTTTTCAGTCCCTTTAAGGCAGTGGTCCTGTGATTCTTTCCTTCTTTGGGGTGCCCCAGTCAAAATGTGGTAATTAGCACTGCATAGACTCCTTTTTGTTCATCCCCAGGGTAAAAATGGAAATGAATCATGGATTAGATTTATAGCCACTGAATTTATTGAGCAAGGCCCAAGTTCTTGTTCTAAGTTAAGATCCCTCCTCACCTAAATATGAGTAAAATGGAAATAATCGTCTTGAGATTCAAATTGGGAGTGAGTTGGAGTTGGTTACCTGTCTACTGGTTCTACAAAGAGTGAAAATAACTTCATATCAGACCAAAGTCAAGATAACTCATTCAATGATGCTTATAGAATCTGTTAGTGTTGCTGAATCTTTTCCCTAACATTATCTTCAATTCTTGGTGGTGGTGGTGATGATGATGACGATGATAAGTTAACGATGATGAAGGCAGCATAATAAAAATAACTACTGTTTATTGAGCTATTACTATTGCTACAGCATTGTTTCCCGAATTTCCCTGAAAACAAGAATTTCTTAACTGTGCTTGCTGAATACATAGACTCCCAGGTTGCAACCCAAATCTACTCTATTACAATTCCTAGTGGATAAATTTGGGAAGGTTGGGGAACAGTATGCCAGGCTGGCTAGGTGCTCAGTACTATTCATTCATTATGATATTTGAGTCCCACAACAATTTTATGAGGTAGATTCTATGATTAATCCTATCATACAGATGAGAAGCCTGAGGGATAGAGAAGTTAAGTGACTTGCTTTTGCCAAAAACTTTGGATAGGATTTTCTTCAGGCCCTTTCACTGGAGTTCTAGGCCTGATGCTGAATTCCAACAGAAGCCCTCACAGGCTTAGCTGGCTTCTAGCAAAGCTTACATGAAATTCCCAATTTCTTGGTGTTCCTACGCAGGTTAAGACTATTCCAGTTTGGAAACTTGTCCCATCCTTCTTGGTTCCTGAAAGATTCGCTCCTGTGCTTCTCCTTTCCTTTCCAGCATTTCAAGGTCCACAGGCTTCTTCCTCTCCTCCTTGAGTAATTACTAAGATTTCAGAGAATTTGCACTTTAGGAAAGAATGTAAGTCTCATAATAAGTGCCACTGAAGAGGTGCAGAGACAGAAAGTGCTGTGAAAATTTGGAAAAGAGAAATAATTCTTATTCTGGAATATTAGAGATGGCATGGCATGGCCCAGTTCACTTGTGCAAATTCTGAGATATTGGTAGGTTTTCCACTGGCAGAGGTGAGGTGAGCTCACCAAAAAAAAAAAAAAAAAAAAAAAAAAAATTTGCTTCTTTTCTCTACTTTGCAAATTGGGTCTTTGTGACTTAGTCCAAGCAGGGGAAATAAATCTTAGCCCCATGATGGTTTAGCAGTCTAAGTCATCTGTTTCAAAATAGGATGGAATTACAACCAGCTGGTAGTAATTTTCAAATCCTGACCCTTGCAGAAAGGGGTGAGAATTCACCAGAAAGTCCATTTCTTCTCCAGGGCACCAAGCTACATTTCCCTCAGAGGGTGACATGGATGCGAAGAGACTTTTTGTTTTTATTTTTAATTTTGTTAGTAACTGCAAGCCACACTGTTCCGGTATTTTGAATACAGCATTTATAAGTTGAAAGTAGAAGAAGGGTACAGAATGTGCCATATTTTCTAGTTCATTGTTCCATGTCCATAAAACAAAAACACTTTTAAAAGGCAAATTTTATATTCTTCAAGGTAGCAGCAGTAGTAGTACTGTTCTCTCTGCCATTTACAGTGAAGGGTAAAACTTAAGCTGTTTGGACACTCCATCAGTCTTATTCATCCCTGCAGCAGCAACAGTTCTTTTCATTTCTAATATTTCACAGTTCTTAGCTATGAATAGGCTTTTCACCACTTGTTATAAGCTGAATTGTGTCCATCAAGGAGACTGACAGATGTTCTAAGGCCCAGTACCTGTACATGTGACTTTATTTGGAAATAGGGTCTTGGGAGTTTTAACCACGTTAAGATGACGTCATCAGTGTGGGCCCCAATCCAAGGGCCTGTGTAAAGACGGAGACAACAGGGAGAACGCAGCGTAAAGATGGAGGCAGGATCGGAGTGATGCGTCTGCAAGCCAAGGGGCGCCGAGGAGTCCTGGTCATCCCCAGAAGCTGGAGGAAGGCATGGATCAGATTCTCCCTCAGAAAGAATCAACCCTTCAAACACTGAATGCAGCCTTCTGGCCTCCAGACTGTGAAGCAACAAATTTCTGCTGTTTTAAGCCACCCGGTTAGTGATACTGCCTCACAGCAGGCCTTGAAAATTAATACACCACCTTTATAAAAACTGTTCACAAAGGAACTCTGTGTAACATTACACATAAAATGTAACAAAAACACTTAATATGACAACTGTTGTAAATACGAAAAATATTATCACATGAAAGATAGTGGGAGATGTTATAGAGTTCACTGCCAGGTTACTTTGACGGAGAAGGAAAGAGACTGCTCACATTGAAGTTTGGTTCATCTTCGGAAAGGACCTGAGAGTTGGTCTAATCCAGGAGTGGGCAAACTAGGGCCTGCAGGCCAAAAGCAGCTGACGGGGCATAATCGTACAGACCCTGAGCTAAGAATAGCTTTTACATTTTTAAAATGTTCTTGAATGTGGGCCCGTCTCTTTTTTCCTTCCATCCAGAAGTTTCCGGAGCCTTAGAAAATGAAGAAACCACTAGAAGGAAGGATTTTAGATCCCCAAAAGATTGTGTGGCATAGACACCCTAACCCCCTACTCATGCTTTACTGTGATGTGAGAAATACAATTTAATTGTTTAGGCACTGAGATTTCTGTTACACACAGACAGGGGTTTTGTGTTATAATAGTTGCCTAATAGTTACTATTCTACCCTAATAGATGCTGTTATTCTCTAAGCCTAACTCAACCCGAACTCTAATAAAACCGGAAGAATATGCAATGGACAACCACATGTGGCCTGCAAAGGTGAAAATATTTGCTATTTGATCCTTTACAAAAAAAAAAAAAAAAAGTTTGCCAACCCTTTGCCTAGTCCAGTGATTTATAACGTTATTATTATTATTCAGTGAGAAATACTTAATTTTGTTAAAAAAAAAAAAAAACAGACAGAGAGAGGGATAAACAAAACAGAGGAAAATGCTTCTGCTCTTCCTAAGGAAGCAGGGTCTGCAGTCTTGAATTCTCCCACTCAACCATCTTAGTTGCCCCTGACCTAATAGAGCTCTGGGTTCCACTGATAATCGTGATAGTGATATTGGCAACAATCAATTGAGTACACATAGCGTTTCACAACAGTACTAAACATGTCCCAGATACTCTTGAATTTCGTCTTCAAATTAATCATATGAAGGGTGTCCTATTAGCTCCATCTTTATACATGAAGACACTGGAGCTTAGATTAAATTAGTTGACCTACATCTGGTAAATGGCCAAGACAGAATTCATATCAATGGCCCTGTGGCTCCTATACCGCTAACTATGCCCACTGAGCTCTGTTCTTATGTGGTGTTACCTCCTCATCGAGGGCCCTAAGGTTCAGGGAGGTGAAGGAATATGTCTAAGGTCTCAGGCTAGTTGGTCATTGACTGGGTCTGGAGTTCAGGTCTCCTGACTTCCCATGTGATGCCCTTTCCACTGTCCCATTTGGGCTCATTTGTCCTGGCAGAATGTGAGTGGAGAACATAGACCAAACTGGCTCTGGGACTGGAGGGTAGGCAGGTGCATGGGTGGAGGTCCCGCATTCTCATTCTCATGCTCATCAGTTGGATGGGCCAGAGAAAAAGATTTATTTGACTTGGGACTGGTGGACCATTCTCTCTCCTACAGTTTCCTCTCATTGTCCCTGCTGGCAGAAGTGGTACCTCCCTCAGCAAAACCGCTCAGTGGCCTCACATCTCAGGAGAGGTCCCATACGTATTCTGTTCTCCAATAACTGCTGGCCATCGTCAACTAGATCCATTTCTCACACTGGCTTAGCCAGCCTTTCTCTCACTTTGCTCCCCATCCCTTTCTTCTGACTCCATCTTGTCCTATGGGCTACAAGCTTGGATCCATCTTCTGATTCAGACTCTAGATCCTCAAGAATCTGCCTCCCCTTGCTAGCACTTGAGAACTCCCTTGACTGAGGTTGGCTGATTGCTTCTTAACTCACCGCTTAGCATCGTTATACCCGGATTTTACCCAGAAGGACGCATTTCCAGGAAACTCATCCCAGTCTCATACTTGGGACCAGTAGCTCCCTCTTTCCCTGTGATATGTTTACCTTCTCCTCTGTGGGATGCACTGTGTATGCCAACCGCATCAACACCATTATGGTTGCCGATAGTATTAAGCTAATGGCTTTAGAGGACAGAAGTTTGTACTAGTGGTAAAAACAATGATAGTATAACTAATTCATTGAAAACTTTATACACATATGACCTTGTGAGGTAAGTACTATTATCATCTCCATGTTGCAGGTGGGGAAACTGAGGCACAGAAAGGTTAGACAACTTGTCCAAGGGCACAGAGCCAGGAAACATGGAACCAGACTTGGAACTTTCATATAAAGGTGCAGTCACCTTTGCTGGCTTCCTGCTGTATGTCAGGCCTTCCTCTTGGTGCGTCATACAAGTGGTGGGAAATTCTTGGGAGATAGTTGCCCATATGTTTTCCATGGTATTTCCTGTGTTTCTCCCCATTAGGCAGCTAGGCCTTCTGTAAAACTTCAGGGAAGGGAAAACCAGTGAAACAAAGATAACAGAGGAGTCATATTTTTAGCTTTTGAGTCTCAAATGGCAGGTTCTGGTCATAAACCAAAGATTTGGAAGATTAAATGAAAAGCTGGGAAACTTTTTCTCCAGACCAGACAAGACTTTTCAAATTTGAGAAGGAGAGCCAGGGAAGCCAAGAAACCTGACATGATGGTTGAGTTCCCAGGAAGGAGTCCTAGCGTGTAGCACCTGCCTGCAGCCTGGCTAACCGGCGGGGCAATGGTGGAACATGCAGGCAGGGCTGAAGGTGGAAAGCTACATGGATCCGACATCCTTCTCAGGTTTAGATGAGTGCATCCTGCTTTGACTGAGATTACATCCCCATGATGAAGCCAAATAGTGACTCAAAATAGAAACTAAATCGAGTTATAAAAATATAAAAAGAAAGTTGCTTTCCTTACACAGCTGAGTTTGGGGGCCCATATGTACCCACACATTCATTATCTCTATTCTGCACACTGACCTGTGGAGTTACTTTTTATCATCCCCATATTATAGCATTTGATTACAGAGTGGAAAAATCACTTGCCCAGGGGACACAGCTAATAAGTAGAAGAAAAAGTACATTAGGAGAAAAGTGGAAAATAAACAATGAAGGAAAAAGAAAAATAAAAGAAGTAGTGAGAACAGGTAGAGATCGCAAGGCATAACCTCCGAGTCACAATTCTCCCGGAAAGAACATTTCTCTTTATTCTCCAAAAAAGTGAACATTTTATCAGGATATACTTACATTTTATTTGGAGGAATAGTCATTTCCTTGTTCCCTTTTCCCGAAGATCTAGCTTGGAACCAGACGCTGTGAAAATGTAGCCAGCCTCCACAAAAGAGTTATTTCAACTGTGTCGTCGCTGCAAAAAAATTACATGTGAATCAGAGTTCTATCATGGAAATTATGCTTCAGGACAAATATGTTATGAATGATGGCTCATAAAATCATGCCAGTATGTATGCTATCACCGCATTCAATTATTTTAACCTGCTGTGAACTTGCTTGCGATAAATCATGGGAAAACTGAAGCGAACTATCTTAAGCCACTGCACTGTTTCACTCGCTCAAGTCATTCACGGCTCTAAAAATACAATTTATATCATCGGATTCCTGAAATTCTTTCAGTGCTTACATTCTGATTTAAGTGGCATTAAAGCTAGGGCGATTAAGCTGAGAAGTCCAAGGCTACCGACCAATGTCCCCCCGGGTATTAGCTGTCTATCAGATTGAGAACATTGTTTATCAGACTCCCAGGAAGAAAGCAATTACAACGTGGCCTGTGGGTTGGAAAAAGGCTTGAGATTCGCAGCCTGAAAAAGGAAGGATCTTTCAATAACAGCATGTGTGACACTTTTGGTGGGATTCATCTAGAGTAGGATGATCATAAAATTTAATAACCATCTTAGAATATTTTGGGAATTGATGGGGAGACCATTAACATTTATATCAGGAATAAAGTAGGACTGTTTTTTCAAACACACAACACAACTGTTTTTTCAAACACAGACAACGATTTAATAAGGGACTAATAAGGAACATGAAGTTGAATCTCCTTCATGTTTAAGGACCACTTCTTAACTCCCTCCTCCATGACCCATCTGGAGAAAAAAGTGGGTTTTTAGCTGCATTTTCTCCACAGTCCTGATATTATTCTTCATATTCCTCGGGAACACGGGAGCAGCTGATATTGCTTCTACAAGCTACTGCACGGTATTTGTGCACAAGCAAAAAGCGGACTGGGTTAGGTTTGAAGGTGTCGCTTTTATAAACACAGGGTTAGGAGATGTGAGACAGGAAGTTATGGAGTTACAGAGTGATTGTGAGAAAACACCTCCCTGGGAAAGAACCAAGGCAGTGTGAATCAAGTATTGTGGACAGTAACTTCTCCAGGCTCAATTTCCTCCACCCGTAAAATTAGGTAGCTAGACTAGACCCGTGATTTCCATCCAGGCAGCGTATTAGGGTCACCTGGAGAATGTACCGATGTCCTCGCCCACTCCAAGAGATTTTATTTAATTAGGCTGGGATGGGAATCCCCCAGGGACTCTGATGTTCAGCCTGGGCTGAGAACTGCTAGAAGACTGGAATGTTTCTCTACCGACTTTTATTGGGCAGCTTCTGTGATGGTCTGAGCTTTTGGGAACATTTAAAAAGGAAGCTGCAAGAGTGATCAATTACCATTGGCGTTGGCTGGTTACAATTGGAATGGTTCTGATGCAATGTTTACTAGGATGCTTTGTGGAGTTTTCTACCCTCTGCCCCATGGCTGGGGACAAACCACTAGTAAATTACATTCCCTCCTAGGAGTACAGAGAATATGGCCTGGGTACGGAAAGAAGCCTAGTAAGTCTTAAGCAAGTTTCTACGTAGCTGATGTCCTCAACATTATAATGTGATTAAAAATATATAAAGCTCTTCCTGGGGTTCCAGTTTCATGCCCTGCATTGACCAGGGCCAGATTTCAAAGTGGACATGAATCTTTCTAGGTCAAACATTTATTCCACCATTGAGGCACTTCTTACATAAGGCTTTGAGACACTGCCTGTGACACAGGGACTTGGAAAATGATTATGGATGTAAAACTATGATGACAAAACCCTCTTCATCAACCGTATTCCAGGGATTTCTGGATTTGATTACCAGCTTTCCGATGCTTGACGATTTGACTGGTATTGAACGCTTTCTCATTTTTCCTGATAGGGACTACTAAGCACGTTATGTTCTTTCTCCCAGTTGGCAACTCAACAAAGGCCAGCCATAAAAACCTCCACTTGTGTAATAAACTGTTGTACGATCTACTGCTTATGTACAAGGTCCCTGAAAATGTGCAACCTTTCTGCACATTAAACACAAAACAGATGGAGGTTTGAAAATAACTTTCTTCTTCACGGGAGGGAAAAGTTAAAGGAGGGAGAGTAAAACTCATGGTCAGAGGCCTAACTTCCCAAGCCAGGGGCTGAACTCTCCATCCAGGTTGACAGGGACGGCTGTATTCTTTCAAAGATACTGCATACCCTCGGGGACCTGGGAGGTAGGGGGCAGAGGACCATTAAACTTTAGGAAAATGGTGCATACAGTCATGGAGAGTGAAGCCGGCTGAGCTGCCACTCACTAGCTGGATAATTGAGGCAAGTCACCAATTTCTTTGAATCTGTTGTTTAAGCCTCATGTGTAAAATGGTGATAACCTGGAGCTCTAGACCCCACACACCCTGGGGAACCGAGTAGCTGAAAATGTAAATACTCTCCCT